TATATTAATAGCAATACGAATGCATGTCTTCCAATAGCTTTCCGAGAAAATGCTAAAAACTACTATTTCGTGAACTCCACAAAATCAGCCCTCCACGGCGTCACGTTCTGTATATATATATATATGCAAATTCATATTCCTGATTGTAGCAATATGTGTACACATACATCGTTTAGGACTTAACGATTTGAAAAGAAGGTTTTAGACTCAGCGTGGGATGCAGGGCTTGCAGTTTTGCATGCGCTAAGCCCCTCCCCTCATAACAACCTGCTCACATTGAATGTTCTTAATGTTTCACAATGTGCCACACTGGGCGGTTTCAGAATTGGGGTGGTTCAATATTGGTGGGTCAGATTACTTAGGAGATTCTTCCAATGCACAGAGCAACACCTCCCTCACTTGAGAAACAAACATCTCAACCTGTGCAGGGTTTAGGATGTTAAGGCCCTGGGGTCTATGCTTTAGGATTTAGGCTGTAGGCTTAGGGTTCAAGGATTTAGGGTTTAGGCTTGGGGCATGTGGCCTCCGCTAAACTAAATTAGGTTCATCCTAGCTTACTTCGGGCTCAACTGTAGCGCAATCACATCGCGCTTTCCGTTTTTAATTTCCTAAACCTTAAGCCCCAAGCACCAGACCCAAAGCTCCAAACCCCAAACCCTGAATAGAAGATTCCATTTTTCCATTCCCCACTAACAACCCGCAGGGAAACCCTAAACAGTATATATGTCCCCATGCAGCCCTCCCTATATGACGCCTACGAGTCCTTGAAACTCCTTTGAAGGAGCCTAATCCCCTCATCCCAATACTACACCCTCCGAATCGCAATATTTAATATTAGGGAGAGTGGGGGGCTTAATGCTATGGGGAGAGGAGTATTTATTTTACCCAGCAACAAGCAAGGAAAGGAGTGTACGAGTGATGGGCCTGACGACGTCAGGTAAGGTGGAATGCACTCAGGGCTTCAGGATTAGGCTTTAGGGCCTTTAGGGTTTATAGAGTTTAGAGTTTAGGCTTTAGGGTGTAGGCTTTAGGGTGTAAAATTGAGGACATGAGCTTTAGCTCAGGGGCTGGAGGCTTGGGTTTTGGCTCGAAGTCGATAAGTCTCAATGATATAAGGGTTAAGGACGTACCATGGGGTGCTATACTAGCCTCAGACTGAAACACGGTTTTTGTGAGCCTTTCATACCTCTAAGATCGATCTGCTGGGATTCGTATTGGTATTCAGGGCTGGAGATGTGTTAGGCTGGGGGTAGTACAGGATCATACGAAACTAGGATTCAGGGCTTAGACTTACAGGCTCTTAGCGTGGAATAAGGGAATATGATCCCTATGTAATCCCCGTATAATATTTTCCTTATCCCCTACTAAGACCCAGTAAGTAGAGGCTAGGGTTTAGGGCTATAAGCTTCTCTGTCGTAATTTGTTCTTGGCTCTCACCTAGCAACCCTGTCTCAGATCATCCCGAAAAAGAAGCCTCAGACCTTTTCAGGGAATCCCTATACGGAGTGTTTAGGGTTTAGGGTAGGGATACTGGAGAAGAAAAAGGAAGCTATTGTTGAGGGTTTAGGGTGTTGTAGTGTTTGGGGCTAAAGATCTAGGGTGTAAGGCTACACATAATTCCCTAGAGCCATCCCTATTTCACCCAGCCATCGTGGCTGAGGCAGGGAAACAAGTTCGAGCTAGAAACGCTGGTAGACCCTTGTAACTATTATAGATGACACTAGTGTTCCGGGAGACGCCTAGTTAGGGTTTAGGGCTCAGGCCTATTGCAGATCCTGCCTGCTTGCCGGACAGAGAAGTCATCATCTCCCTCCAGCAGAACTGGCCGCCGTACACAGCAGCATCCTTCACCTAACGAAATTCATTTGGGTTCTAGGGATTTAGGGTTTAGGGTTTTGACGGGGTTAAGGGTTTAGGGATTTAGGGTTTAGGATTTAGGGTTTTGTCCCTTGAAAGGGGCATAACCCCTGAAAGACATACAGTGGCATTTCACGCTTCACGTCTCACGGTTAGTGCTGTGCTTGCCACTGCTCCTCGTTCCCTCCTAATACGAAACATCCTCCAGTCCAAGCTTTCTACATGTCCTCCGAACTAATGTTGATTTGGGGGCCCCACAAAGATCAATTTCTATGGCTTTAGAAGGACCCTATAGGGATTTGGAATGATAAATGTTTAGAGCAATGTTGAAATCAAACTCTGCCAAAGCACAGGTCAATAAAGAATGCTTCTTGTATTATAGGGTTTATATGAGGATTATAGGGTGTAGTATATATTGGGATAATGGAAAAGAAAATGGAAACCACTATAATGTTGCTTTATATTGGGGTTATATTAGGTAGAGGTGGGGCGTAAACCCTAAACCCTGACCCCGCCTGAACTGAAGGGGATGCTCAATAGCACGGCCAGGGGGTAAATAGGCAATCGAGGAATGAGTTTTGGGTCATTACAGGGTTCAGCTTGTGGAAGAAATACGCACAGACCTCCCTGAATTTCCAGGTCCTGGTCTTACTGGTGGTTAGAAGGGAATAGGGGAATGTAATCCCTATATGACCCCCCATGTAAAATTTCGCTTATTCCCTGCTACTGCCCGGTGAGTGGTATATAGGCTTGAAGCTTCAGGGTAGGCCCAGGTCTTTCAAAAAGGAGAGCTTGGGGCATGGGGTCATTCAGAACCAATAAGAGGGTTAGGTAATTGGCTAGCAGGTTTAGGGTTCAGGATTTAGGGCTTGGGGTTCAGAAATTCGTGCAGCACTTCGGAGACGTGTTGAACTTCCAGATCCCCGCTTGGATGCTTATCACGAGGATCCCGCTTGATAGCGGGGCCCTGATTCCTAGCAATCACATGGAGACCCCTGTGAGAGCTACTTGTGTCTAGCGGTCTTGGAATTGCTTCTTGTTTGGGGCATGCGGGAATTTGTACGGGCAAAGTCATTCATGACAAGAAGACACTTCCAAACTAGGAGGAGGGACCATAAAGGGGATTTCACCTGGCATATAGTTTAGGCTAAATCCTACACCCGGTAAACGCAAAACACATAGTAACGATCAACATAAGTTCAACTCAGGCCCTGTGGCGTTGTTCTTGAAGGCGCGGCAATCGACGCCACCCGAGCACTGGATGTGGGGCTTCATCTTCAAGTTCCTCGATCGGAGTTGCTATCATATCTTAAGCCACAACTATGTTTGCGAGGAGTGTGTGATCCTTGTGAAACATGGTCTTGAACAGGATCTACCATGCTTGTGAAGATAACAGGCTCTCCAACCAGGCAACCCAGATTTGTCAGAGGCTAGGAGTCTCCAGAGTTTGAAGCCACGGTTCTCAAGGAGGATCCCCTACTACTGCCCTAAACCCTAATTAAACCCTAAACTCTGAACTCCAAGATCCACTGCTAATGCCCTACATCCTGGTCCTGATTAAACCCTAAGCCCTAAGCCCTGAGATTCACTGCTGATGCACTGAATCTCAGACCGTAAACCCTAAAACGCTGAACCCCAAACAATAGTCTAGGCGCATGGTCTCGTTGTACAGGAGCTTTCGGAGGGTTGTGCCACCTGTCCAGGTCTAGCTGACACATTGACATCCTCTGACCTACCCTAGATCCGTGATTAATAAACCCCTCCCCTTAATAGGGATTATAATAAGGATCCTAGTATTAAGGCCCTCAAAAGGAGGGGGCTTATTAACCAGGGGTCTACATTACCCTCGTAACCTACTTGTGGTTCGTAGGGAAGAAGGGAATATATCATACAGGGATTATATGGAGATTACATTACCGTATCCTACTGACCACCCGTAATACGCATCTTCTTACTGGCGCTCATGAGTGCGAACATTGCAATCTTCAGGTTTCCTTGTTTCGGTCCTATGTCAAGGTGAAAGTGGGGCACACTTCTGCAGCCCAAGATCATAGAAACCAGCTGCGAGGAACCGCCTACCAGGGATGCTTGAAGGCAGGGCCCTCACCCAACGCCTTGGATTTTAACGAGGGGGCCGCATAGTGACGAATAAAATCCTACAAGAAGTCTGCACGACTCAAGAGATCATGTTTGAGTGAGCCTCCCTAACTGCCCGATGCCTTTTCCATGATGGTTGAACTATGCCACACCTGTAACCCCAATTACCTACAGTTTTATGTGTTATATGCACTAACTGAGGGATGATTACTGAAAAGCTGTAGGTAATTGGGGGTAGAGGCAATGCTCAACAAGCGCTACCTGTCAGCTACCCATGGCATCAACGCTACTGTCAGGTTTTAAGCGCCCACCTCTCATCCACCCTTTCCCTATTTAGACCCATGCTTCTGCCTCTTCATGACCGCAAACATAATACCCCACTCGCTTCAGATAGCTCCGCTCAGATTTTTTGTGGAAGTCGACCCCACAATTCTGTTATGTATTACTGCAGCACCCAAGATTACATCAAAGTCCGTCTCAGTGAGAGAACCTTACTAACCTTGAATCTCCACCGTCCACCCCGCCCACTTGCCGTGGAGCCCCTGAACCTTCCACCCGCCTCCGGGGTCCAACAGAGCCCAGGGGCGGTTGCCCAAATTGCTCTTCCCCAATGTAGAACTGAAACAGCCACCCGTCTTATACTAACTAGGTTCCCCAGTAGCCAATTAATAATGAGGGTACCCTTTTTCCTACTGTTCAGCTTTAATAAGGAGACCCCAAAATCAAAAGGGCAAAAGGGCACTACTGGGGTACCTAGCTAAAAACACCACATGCAGATTCGTAGTATACCATGGCTTTTTTTGCCTGCACGGTGCTGATGCATGAACACGAGAGGTCTGGTCTCCGACACGGCGTCGTTCTTCTTTGGGAGGGGCTTCTCGAGGAAGCTCTGAACCCTGAGGTGTGCGTAGGAAGACTTTGGCACGGCTTAGCGGATTTTCTAGGACTTGCTGAAGGACCTTTTAGAGATCATTGGGGAATCTGGGAGAATGTCTGGAACTTGCTGACTCTATCTTGGGTTCAGGACCCAATGTTTAAGGCCCCGATAGTCCAATACGTACTAGGAAAGCGCGAACACAGTAGTCCTAAGAGGCAGGCGAAAGCCAGCCAAGTTCTAGGTTGCAGGGAAGCTTGTAATCAGGTTGCTTAGGGTGTGGGATGTAGGCCCTGAAGCACCGACCCTAAACCCTAAACCCAACCCTAAACACTAAACCCTAAATTCTACACCCAAGGGCTTCTGGACTCCTCGCTCCCCCCTCCCCCACGTTGAGGGAGCTTTGGCAAAGTTTATAGGTGTGAGTGATGTTGCAAGAACACCAACAGCGGTTTAGGGTTTAGGGAACTTTTCTTAAGCTAACGCCCATCCTGGTGACCCCTATCATAGGTCTTTCCCCGAATCTTTAGCACCATCGAAACCCCCACTCCTGATATCAAATGCCCCTGATAATTGAGAAAGTCTATGCAACATGTCGCATTAGTGGGCCAGGGGGGCGGGACCAGGAAAGGACTGCTGCCAATGAACCTGCAAGCTAGGGAGGGTTTAGGGTGTAGGGTTTAGGTTCAGGGATTGTCGATGAAAATCTGAAATTAGGGCCAACATACAAGGGTCTTTCAGAGTTTCCGAGGCTCCGTTGCCATGTGCGGGAATGGTATGGTGATCACAGCAGCCCTCAAACCTAAAACCAAGATTTGGAAATTGGTTCAGGTTTAGGATGTTGAGGGGTCTGCGCTTGCTAAAGCTGTTGCCCGGAGTAGCCAAAAACAGCGGTCCCAGGAGCATGGCCGCGACATAGTCCTCCTTGCCGGCTGGGCTCTTCTTTCCTTGGCCACTGACAAGATAACTAAAGAAATAACGTTTTGCAGTTGTCTAACTGATTGTTCAAAAAGCACGAGAAAACAAATTTGGTAATACTCTTAATGAAGCCACCGCTTGTGGGTGAGGTCGCGTAATGTTGCTGCAATTTGCCCAAGGTATGAGTAAACATACCCTTAGAAGTGAAAGGTTCCAAATGTGGACCAGGTTTCCTCCAACAGCAGCCCTAGCTGGAGCCTTGGCAGCCATAGCTGGCGCCTTCTTCATCGCCTGAGGAAGCAAGGGGCGCTTCTCAAAATATCAACTACGCAATCCTTGCTAGGAAACCCCAGTATCTCTTGTGATGCCCAAAGTACTCCTATTTTGAAATCCCGCGACGCCCTTAAGATCCATCCGCTCAGTCTAAACCCTAACCCGCATTCAATCTCTAAACCCCTGAACCTTAATCCCCAATCTATGTAAGTAACATATCCTTGCATGTCCCGGGGTATTACTGTATAACCCCTATTGCCCCCTGTGTAGCCCTACATTTTCCTAAGACCCTATGCCCAAATCCCTCAATCCAAACCCTATAGGTCCCGAAACCACTTTAAGGACAACTCTCTATCCTAAATCCCTTATAGCTTGGAGATATACGACCTCAGTTTCTAGATTCTATATCATTTTCTGTTTTCTTTATTTGTTTCCCCACTTCTGGGATGAGTTTTCCATGAACCTTCCCATATGTCCCCATCCCTCCGCAGAACCCCTGTGTGTCCTTGAACAACATATCCCTGCAGCCCTAACTCCAAAACCCTTGCTTGGGTCCTGCTAAACCCTAACCCCTTCACCCTCAAGCCCGGGATAAATACACGTTGTATACGGAACCCACGGCAAAAAGCCAAACCTCACCAAAATCTCCAGACATGAGCTCTATACAATTTCTGTAAGCCCTGAACCCTAAATCCCCAAACCCTAAACCCCTAAACCCTAAACCCTAAACCCCTAAACCCTAAGCCCTAAACCCCTAAACCCCTAAACCCTAAAAACCTTTAAACCGCGTGGTTTTGGGACGCCGTCTGCCTTGGCTTTGCTGCCCGGCTTCTCCTCCTCAGGACAAAGCCAAAAGGGTGTAGCATCTAGGGTGCCCCTTTGAGTGAGATATGTGGGGGATTGTCAAAATTATGGTCCCTTTTTGGGTCCCTATTATAATACGGGGCCTAATACGGGGCCTAATCTAGGGGACCCAAAAAGGGAGCATTAATTTGACAATCCCCCATGTACTGCGGCGTATAAGGATATGGAAGTATGGGGGGGTTGTGGGTTTCGGGTTCGGGCTTAAGGTTTTAAGTTTTAGGGTTGTGGGAGCCAGGCTGTAGATTTAGGAGGTGGAGCCTTGTTTAGGGTTTAGGGTAAAGGGTTTAGGGTATAGGGTATAAGGGTTTAGGGTATAGGGTATAGGGTTTAAGGTATAGGGTTTAGGGTATAAGGGTTTAGGGTATAGGGTTTAGGGTTATATTGGGATAATGTTGGGATAATGCAAATGGTAATGGAAACTACTATAGTATTTTGGGGTTCTATTGGGGTAGTGGAAAATAAAATGGAACCTACTATTTAGCAGTTATAGGGTTTAGGTTTCGGTCGGGGGTTTGCAGTGTCCGCAAATCCTGCCTTACGGGCAATGTTCACGCCGCTGGAGCCCTATAGTCCCCCTCAAGTAGATAGGATATGGCTTTGGGTATATTACAATAAGATCCCTATATATCCCATATTCTATCTACTTAAGGGGGACTATAACCCCAAATCTCAAGAAACCCTCCATGTCGGCGAGAGCTCCTTACAGTCTAATGCAGATGGGGTTTCTCAAACTTACCACGAATTCCGTAAAATCCTTGATAGGGAGCCCCAGGCCATCCCCCAATTTGTAATCACCATATACCCTTACGGTTTTTCTAAACGCCAAGCCGCAAACCCCCTGAAGCTTCTGAACCCTAAAATCCAAATTGCTACTCTGTCCAACCTGCACCCCAACCCTGGATCCTAAACCCTCTAAATCCAAAACGCTAATCCCTGAACGCAAACACCCCAAAATCTGAACCTCTGAAGTTGCCGAGTTACAGACTCTTCAGCAGTCTCGGAGGCTTTCCCTGCAGTTGTCTCTGAGGCAGTCTCTGCGGCAGTCTCGGAGGCAGTCTCTGAAGCCTGCTCAGTGGCCTGCACCTGCAATTCTTCTCTGCTTTGTCTTAAGTTTCAAGCAAGGGCTATTCAGAGAACATGACCAAACCCTGAACCCGGAACCCTAAAACCAAAATATCCGCGTAGGACTCCGAAACCCTAAGCAGAAATTCCTAAACCCCAAATCGCATGATATCTCGTATACATCTATAAGAATCTATATGTATACAATTTCTTTTAAAATCACGAAGCGCATCGTCTCCCTAAACTCGCATAAACCAAACCTTGTATAACTCCACATGTCCCTGCAGGACTCCCAAACACTAAATCCTCTCTCCCAAAACCTATATTAAGGCCTGTACAACCCCAGTGTCCATGTCATTTTCCATACGATCCAAAAGCCCTATGTACCCCTGTGAAATGATCGCTATCAGACCTATAAACCTTCACATAATAATGGTTGTCAACCTTTTCAGCGCCCATATTCAAGTGGTAACCCCCCTGAATCCTACAACATTCCCTAGAACATTCTAGAACCAAGTCCTAAACTAAAATCCAAACCCTAAACCGCATTATATCACTGTCTACATATTCCTCCCTTTCCCCCTACATACACACGCACATATACGCACACACATATATATATATATGTACACATACATATATGTATATATATATATACATATCCCAATCCACACAACCCTACATATCTCCTAAACCCTAAAGCCCTCAATCCTAAACCCTTGACCCTCAACCCCTAAACCCTCAACCCCTAGCCCTTAAACCTCAGCCCTCCAACCATAAACGCCTAAACCCTATACCCAAATCCCTTCACCCCCAACCCCTAAACTACAGTAGCCTCAAACCCTCAACTCTTAGACCTGAACCGTAGATTCCATCTTTAATCCGTACATATTCGTTCCCTCTATAAGCCCTATATATTCTCTTTATTATCCCTATATATCCCTTGTATAGTAATATATACTCTCTCCCTAAATCCCTAAAATCTAAACCCTGAAGCCCCAAACCCTAAACTCTAAAGCCCTAAACCCTAAACCCTAGAGCCCTAAACCCTACATGTTCCTTATGTGAGCTATGTTCTAAACTCCTAGTATCCCCTTTAATGACCCCTATAATACTCCCCAATCCCCTATATAGCCTCCTTTACAGAGTTTAGACCCTAAACCCCGAAACACTAAATCCTAAACCCCGAATCCTAAACCCTAAACCCTATATAACCCCCTTTAAAGAGTTTAGACCATAATTAGCTCAGATAACGCTTTCAAGGGCAACCCAGGCCTGCTCGGCAGAGACAGCTGCAACGGGCTCCGAATCCGCCTCACTGGGCTTATGTAAGTTTAGGGGCTTAGGGTTTAGGTTCTAAAGGGATTATATCGGGGTTGTAAAAGGGGTGTAAAGGGGTTGTAGAGGGTTTACATAAAACTTCCTAAAGAGATTAGATAGGGGTTCTAGATGGATTATATGGGAATATCTCAGGTTAAAGGGAGTATATACGGTTTCTAAAGGGAATATATAGGGGTTATAAAGGGCTTACACGGGGAAAATACAGCGAGTATGGTGGTAATATATAGGGATTACTACCGGATTACATAGGAACTACATGAGTATATCGGGACCCTTGAAACCCTACACCCCTAAACACCTAAACCCTAATCCCTCAACGCCTAAACACCCTAAACATAACCCATGAAAGTACTTTCCGTTTTGTTTTCCATTATCCCTATATAGCCTTTATATCCCCAGAACATCCCTATACTATCCCTATGTATAAAATATATATCTCCTTAACACCCTAAATCTACTCATTTGGCCCTTCTATGCCTCAGCCAGGGCCAAGCCCCCCGTCTGTGGCTTGCCATCGGCCGCAGGCGCCTTGAAAGGGTTATATAAGGTTTTAGGTTTATGGTTCAGGGTCTAAGGTTTAGGGCGAAAGGTTTAAGACCTCACCGCGGTTTAGGGTTTGGGGATTTAGGGTGTAAGGTTAAAGGGTTTGGGGTTTAGGGATTAGGGTTTAGGATGTAGGCCTTAGGGTCTAGAGTATATGTAGGGATTCTAGAGGGAACGAATATGCAAGGATTATAGAGGGAATATATAGGGATTATATGGGGGATATGTATATATGTATACACGTGCATATATGTATGTGTATATAGGGATCGTTTCTAGAGTTTACTAGTAGGTATAGGCGTACAGGTAGGGTTTAGGTCTTGTAGGACGGCATTTAGAGAGTCTAGGGTTCGGGAAGTTTGGCTTCAAGGAGTTCAGGCGTCAACCGAAGGGTTTGGTTTTTGGAGTTTAGGGGTTTGAAGAAGGGTCTTTGCGTGTTGAAGGACGAAGTTTCACAGGGCAAGAAAGAATGTCTGTTTGTTTAAGGAAGTTGTAGACACTGAGACCTAGGGAAGTACTGCAGGATTCAAGAAGTTTAGCATTTAAGGATTGGAGATGAACTTCTTTTGGCCTTCCAGCTGCTGAACATCTTTGGTCTTGGTAGCCCAGTAACCATAT